TTTACCTTAGATGCCTGACAATCAGTACAGCTGCGAACGAAATCGTTGATGTGTTTGTTCATAGACGGCCACACAAATCTGTCAGAGGTCAACCGCCTGGTTGCCTTTGCGCCAAGGAATGTCATACCGTGGAAATGATGTAGCACACCGAGACGATGCTTTTCTGCAGGGTTGCTTCCAATCACTTGCTATAAAAAAAATGTTTTTCGGAATTATGAAGTCATTAGATGTTATAATGGTTATTAGTACTTGAAAGTTAAAAGAAGGGGTCGTGAAGTATGTATTTGACAAATAAAACCTGTCAATATTGCTTTCAGTGCGTCACAATCAGCGATTTTACGATTCGTGAGCGCTCACTCTGAGTGAACGCTCACGAATCATAAGATCGCTGATTGTGACGCTCTGAAAGCTAAATTCACAGGTTTTATGAGTCAAGCACACAGTTTTCACCGAGGGGGACGACTCTATCTACGATGCAGAAAAGATTGTGTTTTGCTGTGGCTAGCTGCACGCACGCTGAGTAGATAAAACAAAGATTTGTGTCGATTTTGAAGATTTCCTGCAAAAAGATGAAGCACCATGCAAGTAGATGCGAGAAATGAAAGATGATTTTTCGAAGATTGATTCGCTAGTGTGAGATTTTTTGAGCATCTAGAATTGAGATTTAGATGTGTCGCCCCCCTCGGTTTTCACCCTCTTCTTGTTACTTGCTAGTACAATATATTATTATATCATCTAATGATTTCAGTATTCCGAAAAACAATTTTTTATAGCTAGTGAGTGGAAGCAACCCTGCTTTTCTGGAACGAAAGGACGCATTTTATTATTGATTGATACATTACAACAAATCGGGCATGACAGGTTGGGCAGTCGTAGCTGTTCTATTTTGAGGCTGGATGACTTCATTAGTTTTGCCAGTTCTAGATAGAGGTTACTTAAGAGCCTAAATTTATAAAGAGGCGACATGTCAAAATTGGAACAATCGATTGTCTGTCGAAGTCATATGAAAAGTCATGCCAATCGAGCAGAAGACCTGTCAAATGGATAAGATGTCGTCTCCTTATAAATTCAGGCTCTTTAGAGGTCACAGCTTCGATTCGGGACATTGTGTCAGCTACGGTGTTCTCCAAGTCGCTGATATGACGAATATCCGTTGAGAACTGTGAAACTGTGAACTGTAAAAATTCATTTTAAATCGGATACTTCTCAAATTTTCAGGGATTAAATAACTATATATTAGCTATGTTTTGGCATAATTTATTTATTGAATTTCCTCCTCCAAGCTGAATGCTCGTACATTTCTCTTAACACTGCTCATGAGATCTTGGGTGAGGCTTTGCCCATCTTCCTTACACAATTTCTCCCAGTTTTTCTTCAAAGCTTCATCGGTTTTGAATGTTTTTTCGCTTTTCTTCAACTTTTTCTTCATTACCGCCCAAAACTTTTCGATCGGACGAAATTCTGGTGTATTTGGCGGGTTCGCCTCCTTCGGGACCACATTGACGCCCTTCGCTTCGTGCCAATCCATTACAGGTTTGGCGTAATGGCACGAAGCGAGATCCGGCCAGAACAGCGTGGGATCACGGTGAGAGCGGAGGAAGGGCAGCAAGCGCTTCTGCAAGCATTCCTCTCGATAAATCTACCCGTTTATGGTGCCGGTTGTAACGAACGGCTTGCTGTACCGTCCGCACTCGCAGATCGTCTGCCACAACAGGTACTTCTTCTCGAATTTGTCCATCTTTCTCTTCCGGAACTTTTCCGGAACCTCCATGCGGGACGTACCGACAAAAAACTCGGGGCCGGGGATTTGTTTGGTGTCCGCCTTGATGTATGTCTCGTCTTCCATGACGAGACAGCCTGGCTTGACCAGCCACTCACGGTACAGCTTCCGCGCACGCAATTTGGCCACCGTGTTTTGCTTGTCAGTCCGGTTTGGCGCCTTCCTGACCTTAAAAACACGTAGCCCAGCCCGCTTCATGGTCTGCTGGACGAACCACTTCGACGAATTGACCTTTTTGGCCACGTCTCGGGTGGAAAGGTTCGGGTTATTCTTAAAGTACTGCCTTATCTTCCGCGCCTGCTCTGGGTATTCCGTTTTCGGTTTTCGGACGCTTCCAGCGTGCCGCTCGATGGTCTTCGTCTCCTTCCTCGTCTCTTCAAAACGCGGGACACGGTGGAATGGGGGATTCCAAGCCTTTTGCCGATCCATCTGTGCGACTGACCAGGATTATCGATCACCGCGGCCAAGATTTGCTGGCGTAGCTCTTCTTGTTTCGAATGCATCTTGAAAACTACTTTGCACACATATGCATAAAACTCTAAACTAGTATTACCCAAAATTTCATTAATTTTTACCCACGCGATAAAAAGTTACACCCAAAACAAAGTGTCGCATTTTTTCCAAGTCCAGTCTTTATATGGATGAGTTAGTAACCATAGCATGGACGAGTGGCTTGTGATCGGTGAAAATGACAAATTTGCCACCTTCCAGAAACTAACGAAAGTATTTAACTGCCATCTTCATTGCCGTCAATTCACGCTCAAATGCCAAGTAATTCCGTTGAGAATCAGCAAACTTTTCCGAAAAGAATTCGAGCGGGTGCCAAGTCGTTCCAGATAACTGCTGAGGAACTGCTCCCGCGGAGGTACTTGAAGCGTCGACAATGAGAGCCAATGGTTCGTCAGAATCCGTATAGTAATGCAAAGTAATGTCTGCTAACGAATGTTTGCAACGATCAATAGCGAACCTGGAAGTATCACTCCATTTTGCGGTTCTAGTCTGGTGTCAACTTTCGTAACCCCGCCTGCATGTCAACAGCCTTGGGAATGAAACGTTTGTATACGTTAATAAGAGCTATTAACCTCCGTAGCTCCTTTACTGTCGTAGGTAGCTTGTAGTTTGTCACAGCCTGAACCCGGAACAGTAACGGTCGAATACCGTCTTGGTCAACTACGTAACCTAGAAATTCAACGCTCGACTGCGCAAATTCGCTTTTTGATACGTTGATCATTTTGCTAAAGTCTTCGAAACACTTCTTCAACATGTTGCTCGTGCTCCTCCGGCATTGCTGGCAGATATCGTCGATGAACACGACGACGTAATCCAGATCGCCAAAGATTTTGTTCATGAAACGCTGGAACGTTTTACTGGTCGAATTGCATGCGCGTGAACTCATAAAGGCCAAAAGGAGTAATCACTGCAGTTTTGGGGATGTCCTTTTTTTCTACCGGAACTTGGTGATACACTCGTTCCAAATCAAGAGTAGTGAAGATTCGTTTATCTTGCAATGCATTCAGCAGATCATGCTCATGCAGCACTGGATATCTTCCGGGATGGTGATTTTGTTAAGCATACGGTAGTCGCCCACAAACCTCCACTGTCCAGTGGTGTTGAGTACTTGGCACTGATGAAGTCTGCAAGTAGTAGACGAAATACGCGTATCTGTCAAAAGATAAGCAATTATAACGGAATTTAAAGGAAATAAACCAACACACTCAAAGCTCTTCATAAAGGGATTCCGTTAAGAGGTTCGTCAAATTTTACTCCACTGTCCATTTTTCTTCGGGATACAATGGGGTGGCGTGACCCAACTGCTACACGAAGGTCAAGTTCTGTCATTGACGCGAACTCCTCTTTAGCTGCTTTCAGTTTATCGGGGGCCATTCTCCCAACCTTAGATGCGACTGATGACCTTTTTGTTTCGATGTGATGTGTGACATCATGCTGAACGGAAGGTAGCCGGAAGGGTAATTTGACGATCCTTGGCCAACAATGTATGGAACGGATGGTCCATGTCGATGGTGGTGATCGTATGCACATCATGGTGATCATCAGGGGTTGAAACGGTTGACTTTTATTCGCTTCGTCTGTTTGTATCAGTCACAGTCTGTTTGTATTCGTATTCTCATGCTCTATCGTCGTCTCTCTTACACAACACCAATGGTAGAACAACATTCGAGCAAAAGAAAATCAAATAACTATCATATGATATGTGTGATTTCGGTCTAATTCCTCAATTTGGTGTAAATTAAATCATTTCTGATCAGAAATGTTATTACTAGGAAATTGTTACTTGCTATTTTCAAAATTCACACAAGCACAACATCAGCAGCTCTTATTACGAGAAAAACTAAAATACATAAATTCGTGACGATCATCTGCGACAGTGTCGTATGACAGAGCCTGTCATATGACATTTTAGTTTAGTACTGTAATTCGATAGCTTGTTTTGCAAGTGTCGGAGGCAAAGGCAGTCGATTATCACAGGAAATGTGTCGACTACGGTGAACGCTTACAAGACTAGATTCATCAATTCGGGCCACTGTCTTGGTCTCCTATGCAGGTCTACAGCATGATACTAAGCTCTCCCACCTTCGGCAGGGTGCTTAAGAATGACCTACGGGAGGGACCTTTCTTCTCCCGCTGTACAAATCGGTATTGGTGGCATCGCTGACGGGAGCACCAACTCTGCATACGATCCACAATCAGCTGCAAATATTCACTATGATCGATGTTTGATATTCATGAACGTTTTAACGTCGTCAGCGTAGAATACCTACTCGGCATCCAGGTTATAGTAAGCGAGAAAGCTCTTGATAAAAATTGACAACAGAAGCGGTCCCAGATTGCTGCCTTGAGAAACGCCGGAGAATTTCGTAATTTCTTCAGATTACGAAGGCGTGAGATAAGATAAGAACCAATAATATTTATATTGGACAGATAAGCTTACGTTGTCTACAATGTGCAGACCGAGGTGCAGACTTAGATACTCTTATGTGCTTGTACTGGTAGTTACTTGACTCGGTCGTCGGACTAAAAAAATGAATGCTTTTTTAATAATTCTTGGCGAGACACAACAATAAGCCACAACATTCTGAAACCTATTTGAATATAATATTTGAAGTATTAACTGGAAACTCGCTTAAATGTTGTATTACGACGAGGCTGTCATCAAATTCATTCACACAACTAACATTACTCGATTTTAGCTGATGCTGTATTTGCTTTATCATTCAATATTCAATATTCTCACAAACAAAAAAAGTTCTGTCACAACTACACATAAGGAGACAATAGTTACGATAATTTCTACATTTTGCATTGTTTGTTTTATTCTAGAATCATTTAGTACTTTCTGCGAATTATTCTTCATCTGTCTGTGTCTGTGGCTATGGTTATCATCAGGGGTATATTTAGCATTGACCATACCTATTACGAATGGGACGTGGCTTTACCCTTCAGCAATACGCAGGCTGTTAGCACTGATTAAAAGGAAGCAATCCAAAACACAAACCTATAATTATAACGATTACGAATCCATACCCGCTCGATTTGACAGTACATACTGCGTGGGTGATGGAGAGAGCTTCTTGTTGCGCGTCTTTGTTTCAAAAAGGGGACAGGGGGGCAGACAAATAATGGCAATGAGCGCGTGGTTGTTATCTACTTCTACATTCTATCAAGGAGTTATTATAGTCAATAATTTAAATCCGCGACAAATGTTGCAGGAGATTACACGGCCAAATGGTTTCCAATCGTTCCTTGACGAAATGGAACGGCAGGGAGAACCAGTTCAGCGTGGTGCTGGCGAAGATTCCCATCGATTCCGGGTACTGATGGGTCAGCAAGGCCAGGAGAGCGGTTATCGAGCAAAGCCCGGCCGTGAAGAGGATGAAGAAGGGAAGTTCCTTTTTCGGATAGACAGAGACCTCGTGGAATGCGGGCAGCAATTCCCGGTCGGCGCATTCCGTACAGGTTGGGTACGGGTAGAAAAGGTGACCACGTTCCAAAGGATACGGAAGCATACGGAAAGTTCCCTCCCAGGTACAGTGCAGTAGGTTGAGCGCTCCTTCAACGTTTTTCCAGTGCTGCAGATGGAAGAAGGCATAGGCCAAGGCTTCCGAGTCTCCGCGTTTCAGGATATGCTCCGGAGGCAAAATTAGTTGTTTCATCTCCAGCAGATATTTGGGCACGTGAGGATTGAACTCCACTGCTCGATGAATCGCTTCCACAGCGCTCATCTCCGCCGGAGTCAGACCACGTTTGGATGCTATATCCGGTGAGAATTTCTCTGCAACGACACGGGCCTTCAGCAGGGCTGCCGTGTAGCAGATTGTCGCTGATTTTGGCAGTGAAATGTCGTCATATTTGGCCAACACTGCTTGGCAGTCTGCATAAGCTTGCATTTCTAGCAGCGCTTCCAGTAGATTCTCGTGAATGTTGAGCACATTCATGATTGGTGGAATTTCCTTAGTGAGATCACGGAACATCTTCACCGCTTCCTTTAACTTACCTAACTTTCGAGCACACATGGCCAGTCGCCTCTTAATGTAAATAAGTACGTTCGTGTCCCTTCGGAAGATCCCCTCCATGATTGGGCCTTGATGTTGAACAGCTTGGGACTTTTTGTAATTCGCCTCTGCCACCTTCAAAGCCGTTCGGAGGATTCGCTCCGCCTCCAGAATGGTGGTTGCTTCCTCCTCGGCCAGTAGAATGTAGGCAGGGGCACAGTTCGGATTAATTTCGATTGCATTGTTGGCAGCCTTAATACGAACGACTGGGTTCCGTTCCCGCCAAGCCGTTTGCATAATTTCGTATTCTGCTTTTCCAGCGTCACCTAAAAATATCAAATTGTGTCCCATTTGCCAATTGAAAAAACCGTATAGGTAGATAATTACCTTCGCAGGTGAAGAAAGTCTGATGGTCCTGTGCAGATAGATTCATATCATAGAAGGTTAGCGGCTCTTTCTGGGTGGCCCAGTAGAACCGCTGGTACTCTGCACCTCTTAGTAGATTTAGCGGATTACGCCAAACCTTACATTCTGGCATGTTTTGCGTTGTCGGAGTGGTGTTGCTCGAAACATTTTCGGTAGTAGTTTCTCCTCCTCCGATCCACGGACTAATGTGATTAATAGATACTTGCTCTGTAAAGTTGGTAAATAAAATTCATCTCATTCTAGCAATTGACAAATAGAACAAAACCTTACCAATGAAAGACGTTCCATACTTGCGGAAATACCACCATTCGAAGATCAAAATCAAACCGGAGATGAGGCTAGAAGTGCCGGTGAGAGCCACGTAAAACTTTGGCGTAACTGGGAAAATCCAAACGTTGTTAAAACAAGCTATTTCTATACCCAGAGAAAGTCCACTTACGTGTACTGAGAAACACGGAAGAATCCCACATCTTGGCCGGGTTGCCCTTGGACGGAGCTTACCGGACGGATGCCGGAGATTTCACTAGCCTCGATTTTTTTTTCCGGCGGATCAGTTGCTCCAACCGGCGAACAGGATTGCTGCCGTCGCCGATCAACCAGGTCTGCTGATTGGCAAGCTAAAATCTTCGTAAAAGCGACTAATTTCCAAAATATATTTCACACAGGACCAGCAAACACAACACACTCCGAAACAGTGATGGGAGAAAAGCGAAAATGCAACTTCTGAACTTTTTTTTTGTTTTCTCTCCGGACAGTGTCAGTCAGGGTTGCCAAAAGCCAATCTGTATTTGTGGTTCGTGAAATCTTTTCATCTTATTGTTTATCTAGAAAAGCAGTGATGATCTGTGTTTTATAATAGTTTATGAATTAAATTCTTTAAAAATATTCTTCACGGAAACCACAGAATACGCAAAAATTACTAAACAGCAAAAAAAAAAATGTAATATCGATCAATGTAATTCAAGCTGATGTATGAAATAATGATGTAATAGTTAAAAGCAGATACAATATTACATCAATGGATGTATTTTTGTTCGCAAAATCGATGTACATCATACAACATTATATTACACAACCGATGGATTGCAGCAGTTTGGATGTAATTGTAATTGTAATTTATTATCGTAACGTTAGCCTGTCGGTTACACCATTGCTCAGGTCAAGCAAAACACAACATTTGATTTTTAACTAAAGGAGAACAATAAGTCATTAGTGGAAGTAGCTTTCTTAGTAGGTATGTAATTCTTAAACTAGGTTTGAGATCCTGTTGAGAGCGGTGTCTTGAATGCGCTGATCGTTGTCTGTCGTCTTGTTGCTAGAGGGAGCTGGTTCCAGATGATTGCACCTGCGATCATCACACTCTTCTTCTTCGATGTGGTGTGGTGGGGAATCGCAAAGCAGCGAGCCCGCTCAAGCTGTCCTCTTCTCAGGTGTTGCTGCAGATAAGGTTTGATTCTATTCCGGTAATTTGTGTCCAGGTCGTGTCCCAAAATCGAGTTCCTTACAGCAGCAGTGGATTCTCTGCGTCTGAGGCCATAGACAAAGCGAACTGCTGCCTTAAAATAACGGTTTAGTTGATCACGGAGCGCTGATGACAGTCCAGGATAGTAAGTGACGTCACAGTAGGTGAAAAACGGCACAACCACTGCTTGCACCAGCTTTATTCGGGTTTGAACTGACAAAACTGGAGCGAATCTTCGGAGTGTCCGCAACGTTCCAAAAACTTTGGCCGTTATGTCGTTCACATCCCGCATAAGCGCGAACCATAAATTGACCTTACCTAAAATGGTTATAAATTGTTTATAATCCTTGCTAAACTTCAACTGAAATGGTTATGGAACTTTACATGAACGTTTAATGATAAAGTTTTAACCTTAAGTATTATAGTTTTTTGGAAATGGACCTTACAAATAATGGGTTGTTAAGAACCATTACCATTCAAAATTCTTGTTTTCTCCATACATTTTCGGAAATAAAACTATACTAAAACCTTTTAACTTATGGTTTGAGAACATTAATGGTAATGGTTATGGTAACCAGTAAGGTCCATGAATGGTTTTGTAACATCGATCAACTTTATGTGGAATATATCGCGAATTGGTTGCCTGTAAATTACTGATTACCAATTCACGATATATTTCACGTAAAGTTGAGCGATAATACAAAACCATTAATGGACCTTACTGACTACCATAACCATAACCATTAATGTTCTCAAACCATAAGTAAAAACGTTCTAATATAGTTCTCTTTCCGAAAATGTATGGAGAAAACAAGAATTTGGAATGGTAATGGTTCTTAACAACCCATTATTTGTAAGGTCCGCTTCCAAAAAACCATAATACATAAGGTTAAAACTTTATCACACAAACGTTCATGTAAAGTTCCATAACCATTTCAGTTGAAGTTTAGCAGGGATTATAAACAATTTATAACCATTATCGGTAAGGTCATGTGATGGTTCGCGTTTATGCGGGATGTCCATTCCACTTCAGGTTGCGATCCATCCTTAGACCAAGATTCACTACGTTGTCAGACAAAATAATGTGTTCTCCGCAGAAAACGATGTTAGTGGTTGGTGCTACCGCTCCTTTTTTGCAAAAAATAATTGCTTGCGTCTTCTTCGGGTTGGGGAAAAGAGAGTTCTGCCTGGCCCATCGCTCTATGCTTTCCAGATCGTTGTTAATGGCTTCGACGAGTTGGTCTACTTTTTTGGATGGCACCAGAAATGTAGATCTGTAGGTCATCAGCGTAGAGCTGGTAACTGCATCTCAGTCCACGGGGAAGGCTATTGATGTAGAGACTAAATAGCAAAGCGCTCAAGCACAAGCCCTGGGGTGTACCATCTATCACTGATCTCTGGGAGGACATCACATTTCCTATCCGTACCGCCTGGGTGCGATGATCGAGGAAAGAAGAGATAAGGTCGCATGCATTGTCGGTGAAAGAAAATTCCTCTCGAAGTTTTCTCTGTAATTTGCGATGATCAACACAGTTGAAGGCCAACGAGAAGTCAACCAGGACCATAACTGTACACTGCTCGTTGTCGAAATGGTCATAAATATCGTGCGTCACTTTTGCCAAAGCTGTTGTTGTGCTATGGCCCTTTCTGTATCCTGATTGGTTCAATGCAAGCAACCTGCGATCGTCCGCTTCCACGTGCCCAACAATTTGGTCGAGCAGGATCTTCTCGAGAATCTTGGAGATGGCAGGGAGAACACTAATTGGCCGAAAGTGTTTAGGTTCAGTCGGATTTGTTACCTTTGGTATGGGCGTGATGAGACCTTTTTTCCAGACGGCAGGGAACGATCTGGCATCAATCACCGCATTGTACAGGTGAACCAGTACAGGCAGTACAAACGGGACCAACATCTTAACGAATGAGATAGGGATTCCATCTGAACCTGCAGCATTGGTTTGAACTTCCATAATCTTGCGTGACACTTCGTTGGCTGTAGTCCTTCGGAATTCGAACTGCACCACGGTGTGCCGGTTCAACTTCTGCTCTATTGTCAGTCACAAGCAGTCGATGTCCCTCGCAGAAGAAACGGTTCATCTCATCAGGATCAGCATGTTCAGCGGCAACGTTCTTCTTGGCGTTGTTATGTACACCCTCACGCCGGAGGTTGCTCCAAAGCTTTTTTGCAGGGAGGTTGTGTGCAAAATGTGTTTCCCCGTATCGCTTCTTTGCTGCTGAGATCAACGATGCTGCCTTACGGCCTTATTGCGTTTTCGTACGAAGTCGTTCCACTGACTGTCGTTCCTTCTCCTGTTGGGATTTCGCGTGTAGAGTGCGTGTAATATTCAACAACTTTTTTTTTCGATTGTGCTACATTTCCCCGAATGTCACTTCCCCGAACGCCATTTCCCCGAATCCCAGACAAACATTTCCCCGAATGCCATTTTCCCGAATTCCATTTCCCGAATGTAATTTCCTCGAATGAAATCCAAAAATTTATCAAATACTTTGACTGTATTATATTTCTAAGGTTGGTTTCGGGAGCATTAAGAAGACATCGTTGAATATTGCAACAATTAACCTTAAAAGAACAGCTCATGATAAAAAAAGGGAAAATCTCTGTTCAAAGTAAATCAATCGGGCGAGAGTTTTAGCATAGAGGTAACTCTTTTTCTTTTTTTTTTATTTAAAAATTCAACTGACAATTATTGTCTAAATGAATAAAACTTAAACTAAATAGTTACGGTCAACGGTACGGAAAAGGCCAAGTAGCCGATGACAAAACACGTCAGCTGATACATTAAAGTCGAACATATAAAAAAAGTTGTTGAATTGCCGGCTGATTGCTCGAATTGGCTCGTGTTGTGTATAATTCCGGCTCCGTGGTTCCAAAAACAGAAAGTCGCGTTGACTAAGAGACCTCTCAGGGGCATACATATTTAGCTGTGACAGCAGTGTTGGACAGTCAATGTCACCTGTAAGCAGCTTTCCAGCGAACATAGCTTGAGCGACCGTCCGTCTCACCTCTAATGGCTCGATTCCCAGGAGACGGCAACGCTCCTCGTACGGTGGCAAGTTCGTTGGGTCACGCCAGTTGAGGAAACGAAGTGCATATCTCACAAACTTGCGTTGAACGGATTCAATTCTAGTGATCCAGCTAGCAGGGCACCAAACAACTGAACTTGACTCCAATAAGGACCTGAGGCATAGCGGGTCACGGAAACTCGTCAGCAATTTTGAAAATAAAGCCCAATTGTCGATTAGCTCTGGAGATGATGTCATTGTAGTGGATTCTGAAAGTGAGTCTGCAGTCCAAGGTAACGCCGAGATCCTTTATGTGCTCTACACGAGCAAGACAGCGTCCGTAGAGAACATAGTCAAACATGATTGGTTCGATTTTTCGGTGATAGGAAATAATGTTACATTTTTCTATGCTTAGACTCATCAAATATCTTGAGCACCAGTCAGCAAAAATACTTAACATATTCTGGAGATCCCAGCAGTCCGAGAGGCTTTTAATAATGTTGTAGATTTTCGTATCGTCTGCATAGAAAACGCAGCATCCTGATGGTATCAGCAAGGCGACGTCGTTTAAAAAGATCGAAAATAGTAGCGGTCCTAGGTTACTGCCTTGCGGGACTCCCGAGTTGTTTGAGAAAACATCCGATTCCGACGCGTCAATCTTGACATGTACATAGCGATTCACCAAGTAAGATCTGAACCAATCCACAGCAGTTGACGAGATGCCAAGTATCTCCAGCTTGGCCAGCAAGGTATTATGGTCCATCGTGTCAAATGCAGCTTTTAGATCCATATACGCAGTATCGACTTGCCATCCTGAATCCATGCATCGCAGACAGTTAGAAGTGAACTGCACCAGGTTCGTGGACACGGAGCGCTTCGGGTAGAAACCGTGTTGTTCTGAATCGATATAATTTTTGCAGCGTGCGAACAGAGCACCATTTATGATAATCTCGAACAGTTTTGAGCAGGCACACAGGGAGGTGATTCCACGATAATTTATGACATTCCGTTTATCTCCTTTTTGTGAACTGGAAACAGATAAGAAAGTTTCCAGCTGCAGGGGAACTCACATTGCTGTGCCGAGAGATTGAATAGCCTCGCAAGTGGAAGGCAGAGATTGGCTACACAATATTTTAGAACTGACGACGGAATGCCGTCAGGTCCAGCGGCGAACGAGAGCTTCAGTTTGCGTGTTGCGGCTATCACCATGTCTTCTGAAATGCGCGGAATAACGAAACTAAACACATCACGTGGCA